TTCAATATAAAATGGCGTAAACATAACCTATTCCAAAAGGGAGGGATAGGAAATAGCAAGGAGATTTGAACCAAAACAAGACTGAATCCCAGCAGACTTGAAATCCTCCAGGTCCCATGTCTGTTTCGGGGGAACATGATGGTGTTACGTGGGCTCCAAGGGTTTAGGCTGCCCTGCCCGACAGCTTTGCTGATTGAGTCCATGTAGTCTCTCTTGGGCTGGCCCTCTTTGCTGCCTGCAGCTTTCCTTAGCAGCATTCCTATTCCTGGTATCAGTAGCTTCCTGTGATTTCCACTGCAGCTTCAACTTCAGGCATCAGCCTCTCAGGGTCTTTTTGTGAAGGCTGCAGTTCTGCTGCATATGATCTCGTTCCCTGTGCTTTCCTTTGAAATCTCAATCATAGCCTCCATGACCCCACAATTCTTGCATCCTTGCGTCCTGCATGTCTAAAAAATGAGCATGGATGATACCAAAGTCTGCCACTGGCCAAAGCAGTAGTCAGGCCCTCTCGGACCACCGCTGTAGTGAGTGGTCTCTGGGTACCTTGATGGCTGAACATAAGAGAAGAGGATCCTAAGGAAATGGCTTGTGAGTCTGTTTGAGGGATGCTCTCTTCAAGTGGAGGATTCCACTTTTATACCCTTGATTCTGTAATGGGTGGGGTCTCACTGATTGCTGAGATGTTCTCAAGGTATCTTCCCTGTTATATTGGAGCAAAGTACCTGGCACTAATTTCTTCAGCAACTGTAGCCTCTTTGGCCTAAATTTTACACATGGTTCTTTTTTGGTCACATTGCAAGTTTTTCAAATTTTTCTGTTCTCTTGTTGCTCCCATTTCTTATGCATTTCTAAAAGCAGCAGTCAAAACCCATTCCACTGCCTGAATTCTGTGATGCCTTGAAATTTCCCTTTAAACTCAACCTCCTGGGCTGGGGATTTAGCTCAGTGGTGCCGCAGCCTACCTCACAAGCACAAGGTCCCAAGTTCAATCCCCGGTACAAACAAACAAACAAAAACACCCTATAAATTCAACCTCCTGCAAAATCTCAGGACGTGGAAAAAATGTAGGCAAATTCCTTGCCAAGATATAACACAGGTGCCTTCTAGTCCATTTCCCAATAGAGGCCTCATTTCCATCTGAAACCTCATGAGCACAGTCTTTGCTGTCTGCATTTCTATTAACATGGTGGTCTTCTGAGTTCCCACCACAATTGCTCATTAGTCTCTGCTTCATGTACTCTAGGCTTTCTCTAGTCTGCTTCTCCAAACTTTTCCAAACTCTGCAGAGCAATTCCAAAGACTTCTGAACCACATCATCAGATAATAGTCATAGCAACTATCTCATTCCTGGTACCGATTTTCTTAGTCAGCTTCCCATCACTGTGATCTGTCCCTTAGGTAAACAGCTTAAAAGAAGGAAAGGTTTATTTTATAGTTTTTAGAGAATTGTCATGGTTGGCTCCATTGCTCTTGGACCTGTGGTAAGGCAGAACATTTGCTGGGAAGTGCATTATGGACTAAGGCTACTCACCTCATGTATTCTGGGAAACACAGTGATGGAAGGGCTGGGGTACCAGTCACTCTTTTAAGGGCACACTCCCAGTGATCTGACTTCTTCCACTTGGTCCCACCTCCTGACGTTCCACTGCACCTTCAACACATGGCCTTTGGAGGACATTTAAGATTCAACCCATACGTGAGAAAACAAAAGTGGAAATAAGGACTGAAATGTACAATGGATGTTGGGAAATGGTAAGAAAGCGTTCAAATGGGAAGGGGAACAATGGAGGAAGGAGGGAGAAAGGAAGGGACAAGAAAAAGTGAAAACAGAAAAAATGGCAACAAAGCTTCTGTACATAGGGAGGGGAGGGAGTTTGAAGGGGGAAATGGATAAAATAAAATGTATTAATAAAAAAAGATTCAACCCATAACAGCCAGGTACGTGGTTGTCACTCAGTAACCCTGGTGATGTTGCTTGCCTCCAGGTGGGAGTATGATGAGAGCTACTGTGATGCTGTGAAAAAAACATCCCCATATGACTCAGGCCCGCGCCTCTTGGACATCATTGACACCTCTATCTTTGATTACCTGATTGGCAATGCTGACCGCCATCACTATGAGAGCTTTCAAGATGATGAAGGCGCTAGTATGCTCATCCTTCTCGATAATGCCAAAAGGTAAGACCCACAGGACTGTCTTTTGTCAGTTTCTATATATAAAAGAAGTGTATTTTCTAGTATATCATGTTAATCGGCTCTTCATTGCTATAACAAATGCCTGAGCTAAATCAACATAAAAGGAGAAAAGGTTTATTTTGATTATTTCAGAAATTTCAGGCTGTGTGTATTGACTCCATTGCTTTTGGGTCTGTGGTGAGGTAAAACATCAGAGTGGAGAGCATGTGTTAGAGAAAAGCTGCTCCCCTCATGGCAGCTAACAAGCCCTGAAAGGAATGGGTGGGGTCCCAGTTTTCCATTCAAGGAAGGGAAAGCCCCCAGTGCCCTGACTTCTGTCTGGGTCCTGCCTCCTAAAGGTCAAACCCCTTCCCAGTAGCACTGTATGAAGGGCAGCCAGGCCCTTTAGCATATGAGCCTGTGAGACACATTTCAGATCCAAACTGTAGCAGGTGTCCTGGAAAACATCCAGAACTCAGTTGATACAATGTGTCTTTCTTTTTTCCACTTGGGGCCTTGGCTTGTTGGCACTCATCCTTCTCTGCCCATAAGGGATTTCAGTACTTTAAAATAATGGAGGGCTGGGATTTAGCTCAGTGGTGCCACCGCCTGCCTCACAAGCACAAGGTCCTGAGTTCAATCACTGGAACCAAAAAAAAAAAATTGTAAAATGGAAGGTCCTTTTCACAGACAGCTGGAAGGCAAGGTCCTTAATTTGTTACTACCTGCATCCTTCTTTCTTACAGAGCATCAGATCTGAGAAATGCAGATTTAATAGAAGACAGACTTTGTTTTTGGTTAAATTCATTTATCCAGAGGTTTATGCAATTTAAAATTTAGTCCTATCAAATAATAGGTGGTTAAGCAATATTTTGGTGGCAGTGTAGGCTCAGACTTTTTCTATCATGAGAAGAACTATTGGATAGAGATTATACACTAAACTACAAATTACTTTTGTCTTAAGATAAGTTTCTTTATTACTTTTTAGGCTTGAGCTATTTGGAGAGCACACTGTATTTCCAATTTGCACTCTGCAGTCTCCATGGTGGCCAGTTTAGTACCATAGATTTAGTTATACTTAAATAGAATTTGTTAAAATAGAATGCTTCCTTGGAGCTCAGAATTATTTAAGCACTAGTCACTATTATTAACATTGAATGCTGAGAATAAGCTGAGACATGGCTCCCTGGTAAAGAATGCTTGGGTAACTTTTGGAAATGATGCCACCATCTTATATGGAGCAAGAGGTGCGTTGTACTCTGTGAAAGATGGTGACGTGGACGGAAAGTAGAGGGCCAACAAACACTGCCTTTCCCTCTAACTCATCATAGCAAAGCAGCTAGTGGCCAGGGCTGTATTTGTTCTTGAAAATCTTTATCTTTGCTTGTAAAAATAGTTGCTTTGTTTGAAAGATCCTATAAATTATTTACATAATATTTGGTACATATCAAATTTTTTGTTTAGTCTACTCCAGCTGCCTTAGACTGGACAATTTATACCTTAGAATGGGCAAATTTATAAACTGCAGATATTTGTTACTCAGAGTTCTGGGGACTAGGAAGTCTAGGGTCAAGATGCTAGTAGATTTCATGTCTTGTGAGGGCGTATTCCTCATAGATGATACCTTCTGTGTGTCCTTACATGGTAGGAGTGAGTGAACAAGCTCCCTTACCCCTGTTTTTTAAGGACATGAACCCCCTTCATGAGATTCCCAAAGGCCCTACACACCTCTTACATTATGGATTATTTGGCAAGGTGAATGTTTTGCGAGGGGTGGGACATCCTTTGTTTTCAGAGGACTTTCACTATACCGAGGGCTAGCAGACACTTCAGCCATGAAGGTACACTTCCTGGAAAAGAGTGAAAGATTGAGTTTTTCTGGAATCATCTCCCTGACTCTGAATTATCTAATAACACTTTCACTTCTGCTTTGAATCAGTGTTTTCTGAGCCCCTGTGAACAGTTTTTCCAGCTTGAAGCTTCCAGTATGCTTGTGGAGAATAAGATATTGGTAATTTTGGAGTAGGACAAGTAATGGCCATCTGATTGTTTGGGGCATCCTAGTATGAATATCCCTTATTTCTTTCCCAGACTTTTCAAGTTTAGGAGTTTTCCTGTTCTCCTTTTGGTGCATTCCACACTATTACCATAGTTTTGCTCCAGCACCTTGCAGTATCTTGGAAGGAAAAAGGGTCCTTGCAAATAAAGTTATTTGTTGTTTGATACTTCAGCACAGGCTGTTAGGGATCCTGTGTCTAATTGGTCATGGCCTACTTATTTTTAAGTGGTTGGAGCTGCTAGCACATGAAATTATATAGGGTCACATTTGGGTTTCTTACAGAATTTGCTGTTTCTTTGATGCCAAGCAGGGAACTGGTACTTCCATCTAACTCACTAAGTTTGCATTTAATTTTCAGCTTTGGGAACCCCTCGCTGGATGAGAGAAGCATTCTTGCCCCTCTCTATCAGTGTTGCATGTAAGTTATCAGTGTTGCATCAGCCAATACGTAAGCCTGCATTGCCTTCCCTTTTAGACTCAGGTAACAGTAACTCCATTTCCTTGACCTTTAAACTTCTGAAAGGCAGCCCGGGCCACATACAGAATTCAGAGCCAACATAGAGTAAGACCCTGTCTCAGAAAACAAACACACACACAATTTCCTACTCTGGAGATCCAAAAATGGGGAACAGGGAAAGTAGAGGCAGGTGACACAAAGCATAGAATTCATTTTGAATTGAGAACTTACCAAGAGCCTGTCTCAAAATAATAAAGAAAGGGCTCAAGTGTGAAGGTCCTGGGTTCAATCTCCAGTACAGGGGGAAAAGGTTTGTAGTCTATGTAGTAAAAGTTATCTATGCTAGGCTTAATATAAGAGTATAATTGGGCTGGGGATTTGGCTCAGTGGTGCCACCACCTGCCTCACAAGCATGAGGACCTGAGTTCAATCCTCAATACCAAAAAAAAAAAAAAAAATTTTTTTTAATTAAAAAAAATTTTTTTTAATTAAAAAAAATTTTTTTTAATTAAAAAAAATTTTTTTTAATTAAAAAAAATTTTTTTTAATTAAAAAAAATTTTTTTTAATTAAAAAAAATTTTTTTTAATTAAAAAAAATTTTTTTTAATTAAAAAAAATTTTTTTTAATTAAAAAAAATTTTTTTTAATTAAAAAAAATTTTTTTTAATTAAAAAAAATTTTTTTTAATTAAAAAAAATTTTTTTTAATTAAAAAAAATTTTTTTTAATTAAAAAAAATTTTTTTTAATTAAAAAAAATTTTTTTTAATTAAAAAAAATTTTTTTTAATTAAAAAAAATTTTTTTTAATTAAAAAAAATTTTTTTTAATTAAAAAAAATTTTTTTTAATTAAAAAAAATTTTTTTTAATTAAAAAAAATTTTTTTTAATTAAAAAAAAAAATCAGAGGGGCCAGGGATTTAGCTCAGTGGTGCTGCTGCCTGCCTCGCAAGTGCAAGGACCTGAGTTCGATCCCCGGTACCCCCCCTGCAAAAAAAATCAGAGTATAATCACCCTCTAACCAGGCCCCTGCCAAAAAAACAAAACATCACCAACAAAACACCATCTAAAAAATCTGTATTGCTTTATCTGGTTACTTTGTGATTTTTAAATCATCTCGTCACATAAAACCTGGGATTTGCATATCTCAATTTGAAATTGTCTAAAACTAACTTTTACTTTTCACAGGTATTTAATAATTGATTTTTTTAATTCATTAAGTTTATTGATACATTTTAGGTATACAATATGATGGTATTCATCATTGGGAATTTGTACCTTTACATGATATATCTTATTTTTCCTTTTCTCATACTTATTCCTTTCCCTTCTTTCCTTTCCCCTACTCCTCCTGCTTCCCCTTTCCCTTTGGACCTTTTCTTCCTATTTCATATTATTATACATTTTTTTCTGTAAATTTTTTTATTGATACATTCTAGGTATATAATACATTTACATTTATCATTGGGAACTTGTACCTTACATGATGTATCTTGGTTCTTTTTTTTTTCCACCTTCCCCTGCCCTCCCTTCCACTCCTCCACCCCTCCTTATTCACAAAGGCTTTGTTTCCAATTTTCCCTTTTCTTATATTTATTCCTTTCCCTTCTTTCCTTTCCCCTACTTCTACCACTTCCTCTCCTCCTTTGGACTTTTTTTTCCCATTTCCCATTATCTACATTTTGATCCTTATTTACACTTTCAGTTTCTCACATCACATAAACTATTCCGTATTTACATATCTGTTCTATTTATTTCACTTCAGAGTATGGCCTTAATGTGCATCCATTTAGCTATAAATGTCTCCAGTTTCTCATTCTTTATGGCTGCGTAGTACTCCATTTTATTTTTAAGTCTTAGTTTTTTTTGTTTTGTTTTGTTTTTTTTTGGTACTAGTGATTGAACTTGGGACCTTGTGCTTGTGAGCTAGGCAGTGAAACCACTGAGCTAAATCCCCAGCCCTCCATTTTATTTTTTAAAAACCACATCTTTTTTCTTTTGGTACCAGGTATCTAACTCAGGTTCTTATGCTTGCGAGTCAGCGGCAGAACCACTGAGCTAAACTCCTGGCCCCAAAAACATATCTTCTTTATCCAGTCTTCAGCTTATGGTCAGTGGGGCTATTTCAAAGCTTTAGCTATTACAGACTGTACCACTATTAACATGAATACACATAAATTGCTGTGGTATGATTCTTTTAGTTCTTTTGGAAAGCTACCCAGCAGAGGAATAGCTGGGTCAAATGGAACCTCTAATCCTAATTTTTTGAGGTATCTCCATACTGATTTCCACAGTGGTTGCACCAGTCTACACTCCCACCAACAGTGGATAAGGGTTCCTTTTCCCTACAACCCCTCCAGCATTTGTTATTGGTTGATTTCTTGATAGCAGCCATTCTTTGTGGGGTGAGGTGGAATCTCAGTGTTGTTTTCATTTGCATCTCTTAAATGACCAGTGATGTTGGACATTTTTTATACGTTTATTTGCTGTTTCTACTTCTTTGTCTGAGAAATGTCAGTTCATTTCAGATGTCCATTTTTGAATTGAGTCTTTATATTGGGGGGGTCTGATTTTTTTTTTTTTTTTTTTTTTTTTTTTTTTTTTTAAAAAAATAGTAGAACTTTGAAGAACAGCTGGTAAAAATTTTTTCCCATATTGTGGGTTGTCTGTTAGCTCTGTTGGTGGTTTCTCTTGCTGTGCAAAAGCTTTTTAGTAAGATGAGATCCCAGTTGTTGATTCTTTGTGCTAGTTCCTGTGCAACTAAGGTTTTGTTCATGAAATCTTTTACTACGCTCATGCCTTCAGAAACTATACTACAAAGCTACTGTGATAAAAACAGCATGGTGCTGGCAAAGAATAATCTTCACGGACCTGAAGATTATTGGAACTGAATAGAAGATGCAGAAACAACTCCACACATGCTAGCCACCTCTTCTATTACAAAGGAGCAAAACACTCTCACTGGAGAAAAGATAGCCTCTTTAATAAATAGTGCTGGGCATCCGGGCGTGGTGGCACACACCTATAATCCCAGCACTCAGGAGGCTGAGGCAGGAGGATCACTGTGAGTTCGAGACCAGCCTGAGCTACATAGTGAGTTCTAGGTCAGTCTGAACTACATAGTGAAACTCTGTCTCAAAAAAATAGTTTGGGAAAAATTTGGGTTTCAACTTGTCAAAGATTAAAACTAGACCTTTATCTCTCACCTAAGCTAAACTAAAATCAAAATGGATCAAAGATCTAAATATTAAAACAGAAACACTAAACTAGCTGGAAAAAAGATTAAGTAGAACTCTTGAAGACATTGGCATAGGAAAAGATTTCATAATTGATTTTAAGAAATTCTGTATTAAGCTGAACATGGTGAAGCATGCCTGTGATCCCAGCTGTGATAAGGATGAAACAGGATTGCAGGTTTGAGGCAAGCCTGGGCTGTATAGCAAGACCCTGTCTCAAAAACAAAAACTAAAGCGGCCAGGGATTTAGCCCAGTTGGCACCATGCCTACCTTGCAAGAACAAGGTCTTGAATTTGATCCCGAGTACTAAAAACAAAAACCAAAACAGTCTATTAGAGAGTAAAGAAATTGAAAAGTAATTCAAGAAAATAAGATAAAGACTAGGCTCTAAGGAGCTCGTTTTCAGAGCAGCATTCCTGGTCTGATTGTAAAATGTGCACATCAAGAATCAGCTGGGGAGGGCCAGGGATTTAGCTCAGCGGTTCGGTGGCCTGCCTTGCAAGCGCAAGGACCCGAGTTCAATCCCTGGTACCAAAAAAAAAAAAAAGAATCAGCTGGGGGACCGGGGATTTAGCTTAGTGGTGCCGCTGCCTGCCTCACAAGCACAAGGACCCAAGTTCAATCCCTGGTACCAAAAAAAAAGAAAAGAATCAGCTGGGATTCACCTTGCTTGGCTGCACAAAAAAGCAGGCCCAAGAGCACCACTTACCACTAGGCAACCCCCAGGCACATTCATAGCTTGTAAGACTGCCCCTTAGAGCCACTGCACCCCCTTCCTTAACTCACAGTTTACCTAGGTAACCCTTGTCTTCATTCATAATTGGGAAACAGTGGTATAGATAATAAAAAATTAAAGATGTTTTTGTATTAGTAATGTCAATCTAATCCAGTCAGGAGATAGAAAAGACATTGTGTTAAACAGGGATGTTTATATAAAGAATTATTAAATTTTAATCTAAGAGTGACTGACAGGGAAATCAGGGATGAGGGAGAGTATCCAAGGACAAACTTGAAGTGTATTCCCTGCCCATGGTGGAGTTTGGATCTCAGTGGAGAAAGTGCAGTTGAGCCCAGTGGATAGGAGTGAAGTTTGCTGGTTGCAGATTCTGGGCAAGCTGGAAGTGACCTCCATAATGCACAGCTACAGAGGGCAGCTACTAAGTAAGAATCTTCTGGGCTGCAGGCGAGGCACATCTGTGGGCCTTCAGAGTGAATTGAGGGGTGGGAGCATGTACTTCAAGGTTGTGGTTTCCACATCAAGAGAACCTCAGGAAAGTACCATCAGTCCAGGCTGGGGGTTGAAGGTTACCAAAGGCCTGCACCTTCTGGGAATGGGGGTTGGGCACAGTTGCATTGGATGACTTGCCTCCTGCACCACTGGTCCCCACTATGCAGTTGCCAGAAGCATCCAGAGACCCCCTTCCTCCTGCACTGATGCTTTTCAAGGAATTCTGTCTGTTACGGCAGATTTTATATTGAAAGGTAAATCCGGTTAAGATGCAGTAAAGTGACAGGTTCATCACACTGGGCATTTGCAGTAGAGTTCCCAACATTTGTACTTCTCCATCCCTCTTATGCTTTACACAGAAATCTATCTTGCTTACTTTTAAAATGGTGGCAGAACAGTCTCAGAGTCAGACATTTCTGCCTACTTAATAATTTGTTTTACCCACCAGAGATAAGAACTTTTCTTATGAGATAATAATAACTTTTCTTTACTGTATCTTAGTCTGTTTCAAGCTGGTGTAATGTAATATTACAGACTGGGTAATTAATAATGAACAGAAATGTATTGGCTCATAGTTCTGGAAGCTGAGAAGTCCAATATCAAGGTACTGTCATCTACTATGTCATCACGTAGCAGAAGGGTAGAGAGGAAACAAGGGTTTCACAACAGTATCAGTTCCACTGATAGTTCTGCCTCATGGCCTAATCACACTTTACAGTCTCCCCTTTTAATGTTTTTTGATGGGCAACTAAATTGTAATGTGATGCTGCCTGGCAAATGCAAGGACCCAAGTTCAATCCCTGGTACCTAAATAAATAAATAAATTGCAACATGAGCTATGGAGGAAAGAGTCAAACCACAGCAGCTGGTAAAATAATTAAGGAAGCCAAGCTGGTGGTGCACACCTTTAATCCCAGCATTCTGGAGGCTGAGATAGGAGAATTACTGAGAGTTGGATCAGCCTGGGCTACATAGTGAGTTCAAGGCCAGCCTAAACTATGTTGCAAGACTCTCAAGAAAAAAAAATTTGAATATAAAAACAAAATAAGGAAAGTAGCCTTAGAGTGATTTTCCTATATATGATGTTAATGGCTGAAATTTTAAAAAGTCAGAAACATGAAGAAATTAAAATTACCCACTGATATGTAAAGAACACTGCTTCTGTAATCTTGTAGTCATTCTAATCTTGCACACACACACACACACACACACACACGCACTTTGTTTCCTCACAGCTTTGGAGTGTGTAAGTCTTTGTGTCTGCCTCTGGTTATTACCCAAAAAAGTATAAATGTATTAATGTGACTTACTTACAATACAGAATTCTGAATAGAGCCAGGTGTGGTGGCACATGCCTGTAATCCCAGCACTCGGGAGGCTGAGGCAGGAGGATCGTTGTGAGTTCGAGACCAGCCTAAGCTACCTGGTGAATTCCAGGTCAGTCTCAACTACATAGTGAGACCCTGTCTCAAAAAAACAAAACATCAAGACTTGTCATGTAGAGGTACAAGATCCCAACAATGAATGTAACTGTACTGTATCCCCTAAAATGTACCAATGAACTCAATTAAAGCTGAAAAAAAAAACAAAAAACAATTCTGAATAGAAATGATTTTTTTAAATTTAAAATATTTCACATAGCCAGGAGTGGTGGTGCAGCCCTGTAGTCCTGGGATATATAAACTGAGAGATCGGGGCAGGAGGATTGCAAGGTTGAACGTAGCCTGGGCAATTTAGTGACTTGGTGGGATCCTGTCTCAAGGGCACTATAAAGGCCTGGATTCAATCCCCAGTACTGTCAAAAAAAATTTTTTTTTTAACTTTTGTTTGCCAAGCAAGTTTTGAACTCCATTTGATAGAGCTTTTATGTAACTTGTACTAAAACGTTTTCTTCCAGCATTCGGGTTTCCACTTGGAACAGACTGAACTACCTGAAGAATGGAGTGCTAAAGTCTGCCTTAAAATTTGCCATGGCCCATGACCCCATCTCTCCCGTGCTCTCCGATCCTCACCTGGATGCTGTGGACCAGCGGCTGCTGAGTGTCCTAGCCACTGTGAAGCAGTGCACTGACCAGTTTGGGATGGACACTGTGCTAGTGGAAGACAGAATGCCTCTCTCCCATTTGTAATTCTCAACACAAAATAAGTGAGACTTATTTTTACAAAGATAGAGAAACAGCACAATCAATTCCAAATGGTATCAGATGACTTTGGAAGTTGTCAGCAGCAAATTTTGGTAGTAGAGGACAGGGTGGCCTTGGGTGTGTTTGGTGTAGAAACTGAGGCAGACATATTTCAGAGCGCGAGATGTTCCTGCAGAACCACCTCTGACTTCCTCGGTAGTGGCCCATTTTAGCAATGGGTTTTAGCGTTGGTTAGTTTTAATTCCCATGCCAAAGGACAAACAAGTGTGACGTTGGATAGGTGGATGCTGCAGGTGCTTCCAGAGTGTGTTTTGAGGTGAATCTTATAGTCCTTTTTCCACACTTGTGGATTTTGTGGAAACACTTTATAATTTCTTGTCTTTTTTTTTTTAATCGGGACTACTCAAATTGGAAAGTTTACTGCTACCTACAGAGTAGCAGCAAATAAAACCCTGCATTCTGTCGAGCCAAAATAGAATACACTGTTGAAGGGGGATACATTTGTAAGATAGAATTGGCGGGAAGGGTAAAGGCAGGAAGATACAATCTGTTAAGCAGTTGTGTTGTATGGTTTTGATGATTTTATTTATTTATTTTGGGGGGGTACTGGGGATCGAACTCGGGTCCTTGCGTTTGCAAGGCAGGCGCTGGAACCACTAATCTAAATCCCCATCCCTGGTTTTGATGATTTTAGAGGAGGGAAGAAGATAGACACTCAGTAGAACAAGAATCGGGAGATGACTGAATTAGCAGAAAGTTGATTTCCCTGTGATTAGGTTCTAAGGTATGTAAAAGGCAAATATGACTTTGTACGTAAGTAAAATCTGCATTCTCACAGTTGTGTCCAAATTAACCAAAACACTGTCTCTAGAGAAAATATTTTTACAACCCAAGCATGAGTCTCTATGGAGACTGATTTTCCCTTTTTTCTTAAAGCCGTCAAATCCTTTCTAAATTAACGAAGCAAACTGAAATAATACCTTAAATAAGAGTCAGGTGGTGTGATCTCTACAATCCTCATTTCTCTTCTGAAATGAATTTCCATTTCATTTTTAAAGTATTTGGTCATTGAAGATGCTGTTCCCAGGCTATCAGTGGCCCTGTTTCTGCCTTTCTTTCTCTTGTAAGAAAAGGCAGCTATCTATGCCACAGAAGACAGTATACTCCCTGCTGGCGGATAGACCGAGTCTCTGATTTGAGCCATGCAGAAGACGAATCAATGGTATTAAGCCTTCTAAGCCTTGAAATTAAGGGAGTTACCAGCAGGAGCCTTAAGATTTTGATTTATGTCAGATCCTAATTTTATCATTAGTCTCATTTGTAGTTCTTCCATCTTCTCTTAACACTGATTCATGTTGCTGAAACATAGGCTTAGTACTGTGTTCCGGCAAAATGATCCTGACGTATAAGCAGCTGCAGTAAATTATACGCCAGAGGGGACAGGCCTGGCGTGCCCACTCACCTATGCACTCAGCTGTGAGTGTCCCTTGCATCTTGTCCAGATGCCATTTCAGCTTTGTACTTCTGTCAGTTAGAGACTAGTAAGTATTTAAGCAGTGTGGTTGAGCAAATTTAATGCCAGTCACCTTTGACCACTCCCCTTTCAAAAACAGCTTTGTAATTTATGCCCCAATTTTCTGGCATTGAAAGATAACTTGAGTAACTTGTAACTGCTTTAAAATAGCATGAAATTATGAAACAATCGTAATTTTGTAGACATTTTGTAGTGGACACAAGGATGGCTGATTTTAAAAAGGGGTATTGAATTTAAGAAGCAGATACTGTACAAAACATTGAAATAGTGTTAACAAAGGAAGGCATCAGTTCTGATTTTAAGGCCACTTGCTGTGTGTGTTCAGGGAAGTTCACAGTCCAGCTTGAGAATAACTTGGTTTAGTGCTTCCCCGAAGCTTCTGGGAGCCAGTTGGCAAGAGGGAGTAGAAAGGACATCAGTTCTGCTCTTCTCCGAAGTGTTCATTGAAACTATGGATTAGTGGGCTGGAGATTTAGCTCAGTGGTTCCAGTGCCTGCCTAGCAAGAGCAAGGACCCAAATTCAATCCCCAGTACCAAAAAAAAAAAAAAAAAAAAAAAAAAATTATGGATTAGTGTTCTTTCAGACACATGTTGCCTTTAGTGTGTCACAGTGAAATGAGTAAGAACTCCTCTCAGACTGGGAATTTCTAAGGCTGAAGGCAGTAATCCTGCTAAGGGAAAAAAAAAGAAAACAGGAAGGAGACTTGTTTGAAAATGTTTCCTCCTTCAAAGCATTTGCAAAAATGTATCATTTTATTCTTTTTCTGTTTTCAAACTCCCACTCTTAAAAGGTATTCAGATGCGCAGTGGTTAAAATTAGATATGACATAGAACATACATTTATGTTCTAAATTAGGATTGGGTTAAATTAGAAAAAGTGTTTAGATGAATCTTGGAGAAAACCAACCATAAGCTTACAGCCCTAAAATTCAAAACACTAAGTTCTGTGTGAAAAAAAAAAAGCCTGGTGATGCTGTCCTCTTTTAGTTTGTTTATTAGAATCCAGCTGAGGCTGTTGCAACCAAGTTATTGGAGGGTTTGTGGCTAGGTATGACAGCTGAACCCTTAGATGGACGTGGATGTATTTTAATAGGAAATCAGAACCAATTGCCATTTCCTGTTCTTCTACTTCAAAATGTGTATTTTGAAGTTGGAATGTAGAAATTGGGGTATAGAGATTTTGTTTTAAAACTTATTTAATGAGGCTACATTATGGTTTGGGGAGAGGGTTATAAAATTTTTTCTGTGCTGAACAAATTAATACGATCCAATTTGCTCAGAGTATTGTTCACTATACTTTGAGGCATTTCTCCCTGTTTGCACTCAGGGTTAATGTGTCAGATGAAATTTAAGAAAATGGAGAAATTCGGGCATATTTATTTGCATAGTATTTTGGGAAAATTGAATCCTGTACATTTCAGTTTTTCAGTGACACCTGGGCACAGCATTGTCTTGTAATGAAGTCTGTCTTTTCTTTAAAACAAACTTTGGGCTGGGGCTTAGCTCAGTGGTGCCAAGTGCAAGGTCCTGAGTTTGACCCAGGTACCCCCCCCAAAAAAAACTTTGGACTTCTCATCCATACACCGTCTTTCTCAGCCTCCCTCCTCACCCCTTACCTGTCTCCTCTCTGGGTTGGTAGAGCAGCCTCCTCAGTGAGCCTGTATGAGTTCTCTGTGAGGTTGGGCTTCAGGAAACATGGGTGAAGCTGTACTGATAAAGGTGGATATGTATTCTAAGGAACATATATTTATTTTGACACAGTGAAACAGTCACCTCACAGAGGTACTTAAAGTTATTAAAAGTTACCTTTTCAGTCTCTGCAAAGGACTCTAAGTGATACAGATAGCAGACACCTCCTGGGCAGCTCTGGTGAGCCAGGTGGGCCTGCACCTGACTCCTGTGAAACTAGCTCTGGAAGGGAGGCCAGCTAGGCTCCCTCCCTTTCCTTAAGCCTGGGTGGTGAATAAGGACTGGGTACAATATTGTCACAGATTATTTTTGGAACCAAGGTGTTCCTCACAAACACAAAATGGGGAAACTGGGAATAAGTTACTGGGGAGCTAATTTATTTGCTTAAAGGGAGATGTGGGACTCACTACCCTCCTGTTTGACTGCCAAGGATTTCCTCTCAGAGCTGTTGCACAAGTGGAGGCACTTGGTAAGACACCAAATAAGAGACATTCAAGTTTCTAATGTGTTCTATGGATTCCAATTCTGAAAAAAATAAAGATTTTAATAAATATTGAGATACCATCTTTTTCTTTTAATCCTTTCCTCCTCCCTTTCAGGATTTTTCTATTTCAGTTTCCTACCTGTTTTGTACTCCGGGACAGAAGGGTACATCTTTTGTTCCCACTTAAAACTTCCACAGGGATTGCTTCGCAGTATCTGAAAGACCTTTAAATTGCCTCACCAGTCTTCACAAGGTCCATGCGAGGTTATAACTGTACTGAGCTTTCCATGGGTTCATCCTTTGTTGCTTTTGCATATTTGATAATTAACTCCACCCATGCAGCTTCTTAGAGGTAAAGAATTACCCCGCAGGACTTGTCACGTAGTACTATACAGTTTAGGCAGGAAGAGAAGCCGGGTGCCCTGATTAGATTTCTTAGGACACCCCAATTTTTAACTTGTAAAGTGGAAAGCCTGCACCTGAGCCTCAGACAGTAAGCAGAGTTCTTAAATTTTACTTGATTTGCACAATACTTGCCAGTTTTTGTCGTTTGTACTAGAATACATGTGGGAGGGTGAAACGTGGTTCATGTTCCTCCCTGACTGACCACATGCACATTCTTTTGCAGGCTGGACTTCAGGATTCACTTGCTTTCAAGCATATCAGATTGTTGTTAGTACTTGCAAAAGGTAGCTGGGAGCACGGGGTTCTTTTCCTGGGTAGTTTTACCCACAGTGTGTCTATAAAATGATATTTTAGTAGCCATCGTTTTGTGGAATAGGCTGATCATACCCACACGTTTCCACTGGAGAGGTTTTGAAGGTAAGTTGTAGTATAAGCCTCAAGGAGTAATAGGATTGAGTCTCAATGTAGGAGATGTTTGGTCTCCTGTAGACATTTGGGTTTTGTGAGCTGTACATGCCACCAAGATGACAGTGACTGTTCCCTCAGCCTCTAGTCCTGGCAGAGAACTGCTTATGAGGCACCAGGTGCTTCAGGAAGTAGGTAAACTACTTGCCCTGGAGATAAGGAGAAGGGAAGAATGGGGTTAGGGGAGGCAGGGTGATCCCGGGTGTGGGTAGAAGCCCTAATTCCATACATGAGAGCCGTGTGCTTAGGAGGAGATGCAAAGCCTCTGGGCCTGCAGTGTTTCAAGTGCCCAGGTCACCAGAAATGCCCCCTTGGGTTTCCCATGGTCTTCATCAGGTTCCTGGGTGTGCCCTGCCTCTTGAGAAGATGTGTCTGCACCATGACGCCTCGAGTGCTATACGGCACGGATGCTAAACAGAGGAACTACCAGCAAATACACAAGCTATAGAATATTCATGCTTGTATGAATGTGTTTTTTACATTCTAGAGTGGTTTAGGATAGAGATGTGATTTGGACCGGAAGATTGTTTTCAAGGCAGATAGTTCTGCATACCTTCAGGGGGCTGGGGAGATGTCTTTTGTAAAGCTAGTTTTCATTCAGATGTTCCCATTAAAGTTGTGTGCCCATTTTCTCTTAGATCCTGTTAAAATGCATGTGCTTGTTCCGTAGGTCCGGAGCCTGAAATTCTGCATTTCTGGTAAACTCATGTAGCGCCACACTCCAGTGTGGGCCAAGGACCCACGTGATGCTTGGTAAGGAACATAGTAGCTGCCAGTAGTTTTCCCAGTAGCCTCTAGATGTCCCAGTCATCCACGAGGTCTTGCTCCTGGAGTTTATAGCCATTAGCCCCCAAGCCCTGTGAGTGAAGTGTGGGTGATTTAGTGAAATACCTAAGGGATTACTTGAAACTGAGGTTTGGATTTGTTTTCCTGTGGCCTGACTGGTGAAAAAAAGTTTATTTTTTTAGGGGAAAAAATGATGAAGTCATTTTGGTCCAATAACTCCCAGCCACCCACTTACCATAAAATGCTAAATCTAAACCAAAACATTCTTTACAAGAATATTGCCAGACGTGGTGGTGCACGCCTATAATCCTAGCACTCAGGAGGCTGAGGCATGAGGATCACTGTGAGTTCAAGACCATCCTGGGCTACATAGTGAATTCAAGGCCAGCCTGAACATAGCAATATCCTTTCTTTATTTAAAAAAAAAAAAAAAATTTCCACAGTCTTAAAATTTGGATTGTTTTTATAATCTATTACTAATAATTTTGGCAGTGGTGCTAGGATCGAACCTGGAATCTTGAGCATGCTAAGCAGGTGTTCTATCACTGAGCTATACCTCATACCCATTATTGGTAAGTTTATCACCATAACTTCCCCCAATGAACCCAGTATTAACTCACCCAACCCTCTTCTGTTTTATATATTATGTAAACATGAAAATGAAAGTTAACGCGAATTGAGTATTGTGCACACAGGTATTTAATCTTCACACGGTGGGCTATTCGAGAGGTGGGGAATGGAGGCATGGGTTCATTTGGTAATACCCAAACTCCCTCAGACATAAAATGGCAGAGCCCATTCTGTTACTATGCTAGACTGCCACGTGTGCTCAAATAAAATTTGTTGAGTCAGTTTCTATTTTCAGGCAAGCACGTGGTGTGTGGGCTTTCTGTTACTATAATATCTGAGATAATCAGAAAGGAAAAGGTTTCTTTGGTTGCAGTTTTGGAAGTTCCAGTGATGGTCAGGTGGAACCATGTTTTGGGGCCTTTGATGGCAGGCAGGGAGGGAGGGAGATGGGAAGCAGCACTTGGTGCTGTGAGTAGGACAGAGCAAAACTGCACACCTCTTCAGAGCAAGGGAGCGAAAAAGACGACGCATCTCTATGATCCTCTTTGTGGTCATGACCCAAAGACCTTCCACTAGGCCCCTCTTAAATTTTCATCACCTCCTGTAAGCATGAAGCTAGTGACCAAACCTCTAACATGGGCCCTGCTTGGGGGAGACACTGAAGATCCAAACCATAACATTGTGTTCATAATCTGTCCTCTGAAGGGTCCCACACACTTGAGTGCAAATAATGTACTGATGCTATTGCTCTGGCTCCATGGAAAGTTTGGGTTCACTTTTGGCACCATCAGTGTAAGACACTATGTATACATAACATTACTTTTCAGGTTAACTTTTTTTTTTAACCAGGGATTGAACTCAGGACCTTGTGTTTGCAAGGCAGGCACAGTGCCACTGAGCTAAATCCCCACCCCTCAGCCTAATTCTTATGTCCTGACAGAGGTGCTTTTGTGGCTTTGGAGGCCGTATGAATGAGAGAGAGAAATTGCATGAGCTGCTAAGGATGGAGCAGCTTGATGCTAGGATTCACCTGTCTGGAGGTCCTACCTCAGAAGACATTAATCAGGTCCCCTACCTTTCTTGCCAGGGATTTCCAACTAGGACAAGATGGCTCGTAGGTCACTGATTTCGGTGACTCCAGGCTGAATTTGGCTCAACTTTGTTCCATGCTCAGTGTTAAGGAAGCCTGGGGAAGAAGCCCTCAAGTCTCTTGCTGGTAGTGTCTAATGCGCTCCTCGATCACAAGCACTCCAAAATTGTAAATCTGTAGTTAGCCACCTTTTTGCTTTTTTTTCTTTTTTAGTACCCGGGATCGAACTCGGGACCTTGCGCTCACGAGGCAGGTGTTGGCACCACTGAGCTAAATCCCCGGCCCATAGCCTTTCTTTTTTGCGAGATATAATTACATTGACAAGAGATCTTATGATTTCCCCATGACTGGGGATTTACAAAACTCAAATGCCTGCAGACCGGAAACCCATCAGCTGCTTCCTGCTCCTGGTGGAAGCCTGCTTGTTCCTTGCTGTTTCGTTTCCGTCTGCTGAGAAGCAAGGCCCGCGTGCGCATTGTTACGGGGCTGCTTGTCCCCTCAGCTAACTCTGCCAGCGTAAAGTGACTGAAACGGTGTCCTCAGCTTCCTCTAACAGGTTGGCGGGAAGGTTCAGAGGGGCCTAAGAGCGATTGAGAGCGGCCGTTTTAGTCATGATATCATCTTCTCGGCAACTCCAAACACTCCCCCGAATAGCCTGATTTCTGGGAGGCGGTAGCGCGGGGAGTGGGACACCTGTCTCGGGAGGCCGCCCCAGCACGCAGCCTAGGTTTCTATTCGCCCGGGTCGTGCAGGCGGCGAGTGGGCGAGGTTCAGAGGGGCCTAAGAGCGATTGAGAGCGGCCGTTTTAGTCATGATATCATCTTCTCGGCAACTCCAAACACTCCCCCGAATAGCCTGATTTCTGGGAGGCGGTAGCGCGGGGAGTGGGACACCTGTCTCGGGAGGCCGCCCCAGCACGCAGCCTAGGTTTCTATTCGCCCGGGTCGTGCAGGCGGCGAGTGGGCGG